ACGCTATATCTCTGCGAAGCTGTAACGACTCCGCATGCTCAGTTACATGAGGATCGTTGACAACACGGAAGGCGTAGCGCTGCAGTCCATCTAGGGCATCGAGCAAGTACTTGGCAGAGCCGTCCCAAAGGTGCGAACAGTACTCCATGCTGCTTCGGACCTGAGCTTTATACAACAGGTATCGCAGCTCTGGAGTAAAAAATCGGTGCACCTTGTTCAGGATGCCAAGCTTGCGCGACGCGGTACAGATGACGCTCTCGATGTAATCTTTGTTGCTCATGTCCTTCCGGATGCTCATCCCCAGTAGACTGAGCCTGTCCTGCAGCGTCAGCGTTGTACCTTGAAGATGGGGAAGTGGAAGGAATGGGGATTTTTTGGAGCTGAACGCGCATACCTGGGTTTTCTTGGCGTTGAACTCAACCAAGTTTCGGGAGCCCCACGACGATATATGCTCCAAAACATGGTTGAGCTCAGCGACAAGTTTTTCCCGGTTTCTCTCAGGGTCCTCCCGGGTGCTTGACGATTGCTTATAATAGCAACCGTGCACTGTGCTATCATCTGCATAGCAATGAATGTTGCCAAAAGGCAACAAGTCATTGATATGCAGAAGGAACAGCGTGGGCGACAGCACTGAGCCCTGTGGCACCCCAGCATTAACTGTCACGAGCCGCGAAGTGCCTCCGTCAACAAGGACACGCAATCTTCGCTCGCGCAGAAAGCCGGAGATCCACTCACAAAGGCGGCCGGGAAGACCATATGCCGGAAGCTTGGAGAGGAGACCACGGTGCCAGACCCGATCAAAGGCCTTAGCAATATCCAGACTTATCGCTAAGGTTTCGCCCTGTTTGTCGATAGCTTCACCCCAGAGATGCATTAGATACGCTAGAACGTCACCCGTTGATCGGTTCGGCCGAAACCCATACTGCCGATCATTAAGAATGGAGTGACGTTCCAGGTGCCGGATTATCTGGATATTTAGAATCCGCTCCATCACTTTGCAGAGCACTGAAGTGACAGCTATTGGGCGATAGTTTGTCGGATCAGACCGATCTTCTTTCTTGGGGATAGGTTGCACGTTGGCCTCCCTCCAAGCTAGGGGCACGTTACCAGATTGGTATGAGAGGCGGTATAAGCGCGTCAGTACGGGAGACAACTCCGCCGCACACCTTTTAAGGACGATAGGAGGTATCCCATCCGGACCATAGGCTTTCCGCACGTCAAGAGTCTGCAATTCCTTGCGGACATCACATTGTCTGATAACTATATCAGGCATTGTGACTCCGCAGTGGGGAATTGACGGCGGTTGCGCATCTTGGTCGTGAATGCGCGAGTTAGCCCCAAAAAGGTCGGCCAATAAATTAGCTTTCTCTTCGGGGCCATAGGCCAAAAGTCCATCGGGATACCTCAAAGGCGGCAGCGACGAACGACAAAAATTGGACTGCACGGCTTTGGCCAGGCTCCAGTAGGCACGGCTACCGGTGGGATGGGCTACCAGCTTCTGGCCAATCCGTGAAACGCGCTGGGCATCCGCTCTTATGTAAGCCCTCCTGCAAGACTTGGTTGCTTTGTTATAGGCTGCTTTAAGGGACGCAAGGTTGGGATCCTTTGTTACACGACCCCTGATCCAACCACGATATGCAGCCTGTTTCTCACTAACAGCGTCCATGCATTCGCGATTGAACCAAGGGCGTCCTCTGCGATTGGCGATGACACTGGAAGACGGTATGTAGTAATCCATAGCCGTTCCAATCTCATCGACAACAGCATCGGCAGCTGCTGAGGCATCCTTTCCCGCAAAGCAGTGCTGCAACCAAGGGATGGACGCAAAGTAGTCGCGCATACCATCCCAATCCGCCGACGAGTAGTGCCAAATGCGACGAGTGACCTCCTTCAGCTTAGTTGGAGGCATTTGGGAAACCTTACACCCAACCAAACAGTGATCAGAACTTCCCAGGGGGGCGCTGACTGATACTGTATAGTAGGTAGGGTGACTCGCGAGCAGAAGGTCAAGCAAAGAGGGTGCATGATCCGATGTGTCTGGAACCCGGGTGGGCTGGGTTACTAGTTGGGTCAAGTCATGCGTGAGAGCGAAAGCGTGGGCAGTTCTTCCTGCATGGTCAGTCTTGAGGGAACTTAACCATGATTCATGGTGAGCATTAAAGTCCCCCAACACGACCATCTCCGCAGATGGGAACTGCGCCTGCGCGTCAAGAGTCGCCTGGCTCAGTTGGTCAAAGAGCCTAGTTGTCTCCGCATCCCCACTGTGGGATCTATATAAGCACGCGAAGACTCTTGCTGAACAACTAGATTCTACGAGCACCCACATAGTGGAAAAGGAGGGGTCCTCCAGGCAGCGCAGACGGCGACAGCACACATCCGAACGAATATATACACATACCCCGGCTTTGGCCTGAAAGTTTTCCTCAAGCGAGTAGCCGGGGTAGTTCAAGTAACTCATATCATTCGGACGGCGGATCTGCGTCTCCGTCAGGAAAAGCAGGGCAGGCCGGGCTGTCTCGAGGTGATGGCGGACAGCTTTGAGGTTGGAGTGGAGTCCGCGGATGTTAGCGAACTCAATAATAAACGCGGTGGGGGGATTAGGCACCGCTGAACGATCTGCATTCTTATGTTGCGCTGTCATGGTGGGTAAGAAGGACGGTAGTGTGAAGAGGTGAAGCCTTCGGCACCGCACCGAAGAAGAAAAACGAGGGGAACTGCAATACATGCCATTGATCTTTTGAAGGATAGCCGGCTGACCCGCCGAACGGAAGGGCCCCCGTACCCCCCCGGGATATGCCGCCGGGACCCCATATTCCGGTCACTAACCGGCACGACGACCTACCCCAAGATTATGCGCGGCATGGTGGGGCAGCCTCTAGGGGTAGTTAGTCCCTATTGGGCCCCTGTACTGTACCGCGGGCGGCCAGCGGACAACCGTTTCTACGGGTCTCCCTGGGCGGCAGGTCAACTAGATATCCCCCAACAAGTGACATGGCGAATATCCGCCTCAGTCCTCCCAGATACCGCGCCGAAAACTCCACGTGCACTGGATGTACACCAACTGATCCCTGAACGCGATTCGCAAAAGCGTTTCACTGTGGAGGGTTTTCCGCCGTGTGTACTGTGGTCGCTATCCAGTCGGCACAAAGCCTACCACAACGCTAAGCAGATGGACACTTGTGACGCCCTCGGTCGCCTCTTACGACCCCCACGGGCATGTATGGGGAGGCGACAATGTATTCTTAAGCCGTCGCCCCACGGCTCAAAATTCACCGGAGCCAATACTTAAAAATGACCGCACCAAAATCTATTGGGATCGATCTATTATCACGGACAGGACTATTCTTGCGAAAATCCTGATTGTGATATTGGATCGATCGCAGTCGAGGGTATTTGGACGTCACCATCCCGCATAACGAGGGTCTCGTGAAAGCTGAAACCAAGAAACGCCGGAAGTATCTCGACCTGGCGCACGAGATCACCGACATGTGGGATGTGGCCTCCACTGAAATAATCCCAATTGCTTTGTCTGCAAATGGGTTAATTCCAGTCAGCCTTTCTAACAGCTTGAGGCGGTTGGATTTCTGTGGCGTGTCGCTTCCAGCACAAATGCAGAGGGCGATCCTCCTCGATACGGCACGTATTGTTCGCCGGTTCTTGGACCTGAGTCCCTGACCCCGGCCGACTGTGCCATTGCCGGGAAATACCGCCTCTCCGATTTAAAAATTCAAAATTAATCTTTCAAGCCTTGGGAGAGGCGAGAGTCTAAAACAATAATAATAATATTGTAATTTATTTCAGATAAAAATAATCCATATTTTGTTAGTATACAATCATAATTGTTATGTAACTAGTGTTAGTAATACATGTTAATCTAACGTTTATGTGGACTCAGCCAATGTTCAATAATTGGACTGTCCCACCTGCGTGCAACCGTGTTCAGAATGGTGTTAGGGCTGACACGCACACGGAGCAGCGTGGAAGCGCAGCGCTGCCGCATTATGGCGTGGAAGCCATCCAACCGCGCCGCGCAGAACATACCGGACGCGCTACAGCAGCGCCCCAGCCCCATCAGCGCCCTGAACGCGTTGTATTGTACGCGCAGAGCGCTATATGCCCTCCGCATGTAACTAATCCACAGGCTGCACGTGTAGAAGAACTGACAGAGAGCTTTAAAAAGCGTCGTCTTCACCTCTTTTGTACACCGTGCAAACCTGCGAGCCAGCATATTGCAGCGGACAGACAGCGCCCTGCGCTCCCTTTTCAAATCCACGTCATCAACTTAACCAAAAATAAATTTAAAATCAATTTAACAACTTAACTACAACGTAAGAGATACAAAGCCTCATCTAGCTTGTGTCTTTACCAATAAACCTTGTATTATTTAAGGTATCTATCTATTTAAACAATTAGACGTCAATAGTATAGGGCAGTATTGGCTCCTGCATCGTTTTGGTCCTTCGAGCCGGGTATGAACCAGCGACCTATGGATCGTTACAACAAATTTTGGTCCTTCGAGCTGGATATGAACCAGCGACCTATGGATTCTACGCGCTCTTCAACATATAGGTCTTTCGAGCTGGATATGCGACTGCGACCTATGGATCTTTACAACAGAATTTTTTATAATTATTAATACAAAGATCGAACACTCAGAAAAAATTCCTTCGATCCGATCGGATTCGAACCGACGTCTTCTTGCATACCGTGGCAGACGCTATACCAACTAAGCCACGGAACGAACCAACGGACCTCACGAATTCTTCTATGTGCTTGCGTCGTGTCTTTGTACTTGGTCTTTCAACGACTTTTTAGTCGTAGCGCCATCTATGAGAAATCTATGACAGATTTATCATTCCTTCGACCGGATCGAAGGAATTTTTTCTGAGTGTTTTTTCTGAGTGTTCGATCTTTGTATTAATAATTATAACAAATTAGTGGAGTAATTTCACAAAAAATAATTGAATATCAATTCAATAAAAATTTCATTAACAGAATTTTTGTTTAGTGAAAGAAACATAAATCATAATTGATTGCTATAAACACTTCTCTGAACCTTAAGACGAGCAATAACAGCAGACGTAGGTACTACCGACTTAACTTGAGACTTTGCACTTGTTCAAGCTCTCTCATTCCGCCATCAATGCGCGATGCAAAAGAAAAAGGTATAATAACTAATAATAAACATAATAATGTAATAATATCAACATATTCCACCTAATTAGGAAACATAAATCAAATTATAAGGTATACAATGGTTCATATTGCACTCTCGACCAATCATGAACACGCGGTTTTGAAAGTGCGAGTTGAAACGCTCGAGATTTCGAGATTGGTCAAATATCACGATATCGTTTCGATTCGTGATTCGTCTTATGCTACCTAAATTTATTTTTTACGATATGTAAAGCTCATTGCTCACGCAGTAACTATTAATAAGATTATAATTTCGTTTTTCGCCATTGTTTTTGTTGGTGGGATTAATTGGATTGTCATTAATCATAAAATAATAATTGACATCTACAATCAACTATATACTCCAATGTAGGGACGAATTCAGAAGTCATTTTTGGTATCTTTGTGTAAAAAGCTTCATAGGTAGATGCGCCCTTAATGTTATTTAATAACTAATTTTTCTATAGAGCTAGTTGTGCGCCTGATGGTAAGCGACACGCCTACACATAACAGTTGCAGTGCTGCTAAGGGCTTGAAATCGCAAAGATCTGGGGGCACAGCCACTGCGCCCGTCACCCTGAGACATACGTTGATAAGGCCCTGTGCCTGTAAGGCTGCTAACAAATTGACTTTGCGCATTAACTACAAACATGCAGTCCATCTGTTAGCAGCCTAGTGCTCACATTATTGCTTGGCTGCAGAAGTAGGTAAGATAGGTAGCAGTTATTCCCTGGAGGAACTCTTTCCTATGGAGCTCTACTGCTACTAAACATGTACTTATTTTGGGCATGGTATCCCATAGATCTCTTAGGTTGACGTTTTCCAAGTATATCTTTAACCTAAAAGGGGAATAAGGATAAATAACCCGTCAATGCCACGTTTCGTTTCAGGCCTGTGTCAACACCGTCTGTTCGCTCTAAGTTAAATCCGTACGATTAAAGCAGGTATCATTCTACGAGGCTCTAATTTTAAAAGAATCCCTAAATTAGACTAGTGTTAAGTAATTCTGTTGGTTACTACTTGGAGACGGTTACCGCCGGAAGGTCTGTGATCGAAATTCCGCAGCTTGCTTTCGAGCGGTGATTGACTCAACGCGTATTGACAATAGCGGGCTTTACCTAAGCACCTTATCACACGTGATACAGCAAACGTGTGCGCGTGTATCCTGCGCTATTAGCCTTTACACGAACGCTCATTCCCTTGTAACAAAAACGAACACGTGTAATCGCACGCGAAAGAACGTTAGCTTAAAATATTTCAAACAGGTAATAAGCGCACGATTGCCGTGCAGGCTTTCCCGCGCGCAGTTCTGGGTGCCTATGACAACCTCTTAAGACAATATTACTTTAACCTAAGGCTCAACTCACACTGGCGCAGAGTCGAAGCGTCGTGACGCGTCATGTTTTTCGCCTATAGCATATTCATCTATATTTTCCAATTATTAAAGTACAAATTTGTGTTTAGCAAATATGGAATCTCTCTGGGAAGGACTCTGCGCCAGTGTGAGTTGAGCCTTACATTGACTTTTCGTATCATGACGCACTTATAGTAAGTCTATTATAATGTTAAAACTATGATGTTTTATTGACAGCTTTGTGAGTATTCATTCACACAACTGGTAGGTACTATGACGCGACTTTAACATTAAAGTAATATTGATCTTATATCTAATTTAGTTCCATTTACGACGTCGTACTTTATGTTTTTGGAATGAAAGTGTAAAGCACATTCAATAAAAAATGTTGTAAACTGTTCTTATTGGATAAAATAGGTACTATATGCACTCCACTGAATGATGTTTTTTGAGCTGGTCCATAAATGCATTCACTAAAAATCTTTTACGTGCATACATTTAGCATTAACGTAATCTCAACTGTGACTCTCTGAACATATTGAACATTTGTCGGAGTTTTTGCAACTTTACAATTTGGTCAAATCATAGAACACCATCCTTTAATTTTTTTTTGGTATTTCTTTGACATATTTGTTAATCACAGGTCTGGAAAATGCGGGGAAGTGACATCTATGGTATTATTATCCAAATACAACTTTTATTGTCAGATACCAACATTGTAAGATAACATCAAAAACATTAGGTGTTTGCAGAAAATCGATTAACAGTATACTTACATTCGGAAACGGGAATAAACGCGTTTACACACGAATAGGTATATGTCACACCTAGTTTCCCAACATTTCGGCCAGGTTGCACTGGCCGTGGTCACGGGCTGACTTACGATTAAAGGCAATGATATTTATACTTGTAAATCAAAGTGTTCCAAACACTACGGTGTAAGTTCAGCATGTCCTGGTTTTTTTTCCTCAATCTACTATTTTTTCTGTGCAATATCTTCCGATTTTTTCAGATTTGACCTGGCAACACTGGTTCTGATAGTAATCGAAACATAAGACACTTTTCTTTTTTTTTCTTTATTTCTTCAGTAATTATAATAAGACTATTGACTAATTCAATTGTTCTCCGACAGGCATATTGCCGGCGATCGCTTCGATATTAGACGATTCTGGATTCAATATACGATTTAGTGTAATACTTTATGATATACCTATTTGGACTTCCGAAATATTTATGCCACCACACGCGGCGCTGCTGGCTTTCTACAGAGGAGGCAGAAGTGCTCAGTGGAACGCCCAGTGCGCCTTGAACATGTGTAACGGAACACAACAGTTAAATGATGCATGTTGTAGTGAGTCCCATTGTTTTGTTTTGGATCCATTTCCCATCAAAGCGGAGAAGAAGCGATATGTGTAGGGTAGACTGGGTACAGTTGCAACTTTTTGTTTTGATCCTCCATAACATTGTTGTTTTTATAAACAATTGCAAACGAAAGGTAGGAAAATAAGGAGTGAATATTTATCTACAAATTGATGTGAAATTCAGACGCTCATGTACGGACAATGGCACATCAGGCTACACATTTTTGTTCGAAAACCCTCGGGGTATTCCTCCTCTCAGCTGCAGGTAGAGACCCGAGTCCGCTAACCAGGGGCCATGGGGCCAGGACAACATCTCCTCAACTGTGAAGTTCCGAGGATGCTCCCCCGCCCCCGCGGCGGATCTGTTGGTAGGCTCCGCCGCAACACCCTACGTGCATCCACGTGGACTCTCCGTAGAGAGTCCTTTGGAGCGCCCACCACACGGGCCAATCGCCCAAATTCGGCCGCGGAGGATAGGACGAGTGGCAAATACACACCGACACGTCTCTTCTCACGCGGCCCCACCGCCACTGCATCTGCACCCTAAGTGGTGCAGCCCCGCCAGAGTCGCGGAGGATAGGACGAGTGACGACACACCGACACGTCTCTTCCCCGCGACCCTCCTCCCCGCATGCGTCCGCGCGGACCCGCTCGGCCTAGATCAAGACGAACCCGCGCGGTACGCCCTCCTCCTCGGGCCAGCCTAGCTCCATCGGCCGGCCAGTGAGTTCCTCTTAGCTTCACCGTGGGATGAAATCGACCACGGCTACTAGAGCCCTCCGACAAAACCCATTTCGGCGGGTACAACCGTACCCAGTCAGTAAGTTGACAAGTCCCACGTGCCTGTAATTTCACCAACACCCTTACCCTTCACACCGGAACGCAGTATTGCTGACTTTACTGCTTGTCGGCTGAAATAGGTAAAGTGGCAGTACTTCCCTGGACGAACTCTTTCACAAGGAGCTCTACTGCTACTGCTCGATAGTGTGATCAAAGAAAACGAGTAAGTGGAAGCCACAGACGATCGACATCGTTTTTCTACGTATGATCAGACAAAATCGAGTAAATACTTAATACTTAAGTAACAGACGATCAAGAGAGCAATATTTATCGATCGAAACCAATCGACACTTGTGATCACGCATGTAAGTAACAGACAAAATCGTGTAGATATGTAAGCAACAGATGATCGACTGCGCATTATTTGTCGATCAAGACTAGTGATCAGACAAAATCGAGTAAATATGTAAACAAGCAACGGATAATCGAAAGAAAATTAGGCGTAGGTGCCTACAAATTTCTTCGATTTTAACCTAATAATAATTAGCGATCGCTAGCATGTGACAGTAACGACCGCCAAAAATCTGTAGACACCTTTACTGTTCTTGTTCTTATTCTGCTCTTGTCGTAACAGACTTAGATTTAAATTTAAATCTTAAATGACCAATTAGTGATAAAAACTATAATACATAAATTAATATATTTGTGTTCTCTTCTCCGTTTTAATAGCATACAGGATTAGAAACAAGAACGACGAACAAAACTCTTTGATTTGACAGCTCCGAGTTGGTCTTGTTACGTCTTGTACTCTCGTAAGCTTAAAACATAAACAAACTCAGCCTACTCAAACTATATTGTGTTGTTTGCTTCAGAACAGAGAAATCCAGAATGTTACTTCTGTATCGACAGTGGAAAACCCGGGGCACCCTTGCTAATACTCTTACTTCAAACTTGTTTATACATGGTAAGTGTCTAACCATCACTAGCTGGATAGATACCATCGCCTTACCTACATATTTCTACTGTAAACTAGTACTGCTTTCTATACTACGTGTGGCGCACTATAAGTTACGGAATGAAACAGAAAAAATACTATAAATGGTCAGAAATAAATTTATTGTATCTCAAACTACTCTCCGTTAGCTTTAATGTACTTTTTCATACTTATGTACCAATTTTGAAAACATTTATGCCACTATTCCGTGACAATCTCTGAAACATATTTTTCATACTCTTCGACAGCCTCTTCGGGTGATGAAAATGGTTGACCGCGTAACTGGTTCTTAATTTTTGGAAATAAATAAAATTCACAGGGTGCCAGGTCGGGGCTGTACCATAGCTGTATGCGGTATGGCTCATAAGGTCAACGTTGTTCACCTTCAAAAATCTGGCCGTGTGAGAACTGGCATTAATGTGGTGCAAGATGATACGGCGTTTACGGTTATTTTTACGGAGTACAAATGGTCGTGTACCAATCACTATTCACGGTACAACGATTCTTCAAAGCAACAGTAGCCCCGTGTAACCAGTTTTATTGCAAAAAGAAGCAATCATCCGCTTAGAGGCACTTTTGCACGCGCTCCACTTTGGTTGGTTTCGGCTCATCTCGAAAGAGTCATACGCTCGATTGCTGCTTTGTTCTGGGATTGTAACTATAAATCCATGTTTCGTCACCTGTACATAGTACATAGGACATAGTACCTACACCAAATTTGACGCCCCTTTGTTGAATCTGGTAAGCATGACATTGCACCAAGTGACGCGATCCGTTTTTTGAGCCATAGTCAAATTGTGTAGGATCCACCGATAGCACAGCTTTTTCACACTCTAATGTTTGTGTAGTATTGATTGTATTTGACTCATGCTTATGCCTAAAGATGCCCGAATGATGCACATGCCTGTCTGTTTCGATCATACGGCGCACAGCATCGATGTTTTTGTTGTTCACAGCAGTGGACAGCGACCATCACGAAATTTGTCACTGAGATTCACACGACCGCGCTTGAATTCTGCAAACCAGCTATAAATAGTCGTCTTGCATGGTGCTTCATCGCCAAAAGCAGTTTGAGGCCGAGAGACGCTCCGCTGAGCTGTTAAATTACACTTAAAGCCGTAGAAAATCATACTACGAAATTTTCACAAGTTAAATCCATGGTGATGTAGATAACCAATTTCTAAAATGACGCCACAATGTAAAAACAAGTGACAATCAGATGAAACAAACTGTATTCTACAGCCAAGGAGATCCATTTTTTTCAAATGTTGCAATTACTTTTTAAATATGGTTTATCTAAGTGGCCAGTTCCGGAAACTTAGGTATAGTGCGCCCTATGTAAAAGGTAGGCAGCTTAGGAGGATATACCATCGCCGACAAAATATAGGTGTTGTAATTAATTCTTCCTTAATATTGCAAAATCCCTTAAAAGTGACTTAAACAAAAAATTTATTCATTCATTTATTAATTCCGTTTAATCACAACAAAATTAGTAAATTACTGCAAAGGATCAAAGAATCAACAAATAAAATGTACTGTAAATAAAACGTGTACTTTTATGTGACCAAAATATTTGTAACGTGTGTTACCTGTAGTAACCCTTCACAATGACGCCGCGTACCAACAGTGATTGCGAAAGACCACTCTGGAGCACACATTATACGCCTTAAAGCTGTTATATCTATAAACAGTCTTAATATGGAATTGATTTAGATAATAGTTCTCTGTAAATGGTTTTAGAAAAAAGAAATTGTTCTTATAGACTTATTTCACTCAAGTCAAAATTTTAAAACCGTCTTAATACCAAACAACTTTATTAAGTGTAATCTCTCTTAAGATTTACTCTTATAGTCATTATTTTAAGTTCAAATGTAGAACAACTGATTATTTTTAGTAAAATTGTTCTATACACATCCAGTATAGAAACTATACACCTTTATATAAAACACATACTGTGAGAGAAATAAACAAATAATGCGAGAACTAATAAAATTTGATGTACTTATGTTTGTGTTAAAATGGCCCTGACTCACCATAGGGTGACGCCAGACGAACGTAATTTTGTGAGTTCCATGGTCACGGTTGACTGAGGTGGTACGGTCTTCAACCAGTTTCAATAGTTTTTAATTAAATACCTTATTTTTAATTTTACAAAGAAAACATTCCAATTTACGCTACATTAAGTTTTACAAATTATTTTATTGAATGATTTTTTACAAAGTTCAATATATTATTAATTAATAATAGAAATTAGAATAAACTAAAACATATTAACTAGTACTGTAGTTTTTTGTTTGTTTGGGATTTTTCATCAGAGGATATACTGGATTCCAAACTGGTGGTACGGAGAAACCATCTTTCTTGTTGAAATTAGGATGATTTTTAATTTCAATGGCCTCTCGCAGCATCCTAGGTAGATAACGGACTTCTTTTGCAAGGACCTGGGGTCTGTCAAACTTCATTGAATGTGTAGGTTTATCCATGACATGCTCGCAGACGGCAGACTTGTTTACGCGACGGTGTTTGACATCAGCTATAAGTTCTTTGACGCGGGTACAAATACTTCGCCTAGTTTGTCCAATATAAGAGAGAGCGCACTCACAGTGAAGCTTGTAAACTCGTGCATCCTGTAAGGGGATGTTACATTTCACGGGTCTCAGGAACTGAGAAATCTTCCTCAGGGGCTTGAAATAGGTCTTGATAGACGCACTTCTGAGGACTCTTCCTATCTTGTCTGTAACACCTCTCACGTAAGATAAAATGCCAGGTCTTCGCTCGACTGTTGGTGGTTCACACGAGGCCTGCGGCATTGGCGTCTTCAACTTATTCGCATGTAGGACTTGCTTTATATGCTGAAGTTCCCCTGCCAGATGATTACTGTCGCAGACACCATGTGCTCTCTGAAACAAAGATTTGCCCACGGTAGCTAACTGGCTAGGATGGTGATGGGAATTACCATTAAGATATCTATCTGTATGGCTTTTCTTTCGAAATACAGTATGGCCTAAGGTGTTACTAGGATTTATTACTTCTATTACGCCCGTGAGTCGGCACATAACTCATTTTGCGTCGTCGTGTGAAACAAACCGTACCTTTATATGAAACCGAATGCAGCGCAAACCACGCAACTCAAACTACGCGACTCACAAAATTACGCTCGTCTGACCAAAAACTGTAGACCGAGAGAAATCAAACAGTGCAGATTTTCTGCCAGTACCATATCGTCGCCTTACTTTCTCAAACTCGTATCTTAAAGGACAAAGTAACTAAAATGCAACATATGCATTGTGTATATAATTTTGCCATTGACTTACAAATAAATGGACGACGGGTCTAATACAAAAACCACGAAAAAAAATGTCCCAAGTCGACCTATTCGAAATTTAAATTGTAATGTCATCGCAGTATCGCGCTGTCAGTCGAACAAATGAAGACTAAAGCGGAGTTTGGCGCTCTGTATACGATTTTAGTGCCTTACACGTGCGGATACTTTTTAGCGCGGACCCGACGTCCATATAATTGTAAGTCAATGAATTTTGCAGACTGACTTCACGTCATATTTCCTTTATATTCACACGCTGGCTTTTACTTATTCTTAAAGTAATGCATCGAAATTAACGCCCTTGATAAGAAATTTTTGCCATGTCCTCAATAATAACCCTTTGTAAGACACGTGGTAGAGAAAGTAAGGCATCGATATGGTACTTTTATTAATTAAATCTTGTAATATAAAGGACACAAATTGCCTTTTTTAAAACCTCCTTCCGGCGGCTTGTTCCAGAATTAGTGCCCATGATTACAAAGCGATTTATTTAATTGTTCAATCGTAGGTGTACCTGAAAATATTTTTATAAAACCCTTCTATAAGCGTAATATTAGTCAAATGTAGAAATAATTATTTCAATTCTTTCTGCTAAGGAGAAGGCAAAAGTTTAAAATTATATCGATGGTTTTCTAGAATAGTGGCCTATATGAAAATCACATAATTCATCAGAAAGATTGTTCAAAAATAAATAAAAGAACTCGTACCGTGGTGGTGAGAAACCTGTAATTAGTAATAATCTTCCAGATATTCGTACTCCTGGCTCAACATGGCTACTTGAATCAATGGCGAGATAAGTTGGTGAACATGAAATATGTCAGGCCGCAGAAGCATTACAACGATAAAATGGTTCTAGCCGAAGAAAGTTACGTTAGCAAGAACATTGCGTTGTGTAAGTAATTTGAAAGCACGATGATGAATTCTTTCTGTCGAAAATTACGAATTTTCTGGTCGAGAGTAGGTATAACTTTGTTGCTATAAGCTTCTAAAACGTCATAATAATTCACTTTACGAGGCAGCGTAACAATTTTTTTTTTGACGTCTTGATGGAAACATCCATCTTACAAATTAAAACAAACATCTCACCTGATGGAAACTGACGATGGGGTCGACGATGGAGCATGCACTCCTAAATAATATCTATTTACTTTCGTCTTGAAAAGACTCAAGTTAAAGCGTTCAAGCAGGGCTCCGTCACTTGCTCGAAGTTCCGCGATGTGCCTACCGCTGAGTGTACAGACGTCGTCGGCACAAGCTCTCATACAACGTCTTTCATTTATGAGCATTCGACTCCGCACGACTACACACTCTCTGAGCTCTTCGTAGTGAGGGCCTGGTTTAATTAGTCAGATTTAGTAGGCTATTATAATAACGTAGTGTAACAAAATCACATAACAGGCAACAACTCATATTAGTTCCGTCACGCACCGCTAGATGGCATTGGCGGCGAAATCGCAAATTCTGCATCGCGGTGTTAAGATTTTCCCTCGCGGAATGACTATTGGCGGCGATGCGAACATGAATGGAATCAAAGAATGTAATCCAACTTACGACGCATCTAGCTCTGCTTCCTTATTTGGAACTCCGCTTTAGATCGTTACCGTTGAACCTACTGCACTGTGCTACGCTTCTAGCGCGGCGTCCTATTTGGAACTCCGCTTTAGAACGTAACACGTAGTTGTTGCACCCTGAGCCGCTTCCTAATTGGAACGAGTGTACGGGTCCTCGACTACGTGCCTATTAGGGGTAGTTCTTCCCCATTGCACCCCATAAGAACATACTACAGTAGGTATTTTTAGAATTGTATGAGAGTAATGTAGTGTGTGGTTCAAGAAATAAATCTGCAGGCATGGAATCCCGTTCAAGTTCAAATAATTTGCTTTAATTAATACTAAAAGTGTGGTCTTTTGTATTAAAACTTATTCTAATAAAGCTCTATTCATTGCAGCGCAGGCGCAAGCTACCGACGCAATGTTGATCGGAGACGTGCACAAAAACTACGTGAGCATTGGATGCGGTCACGTCAAGAAATGCAACGCCGTCAAGGGTGTTAGCTTTTCGGTTAAAAGAGGTAATGTTATCTCCTAATTTAGTTTATGATTGCTGAAAAATAACGCACACACAGTCAGTCAACAGTCTTTATTGAAAGCAGAGTAAAATGACGTTTGCAGGGTTGCCAGTTTTCGAAAAATGTTGAATAGTAGATTTTAACAGTTTTACCGACAGATTGTGAAAGTAGTTAATTGTATAAATGTTGTTGATGTCAACAGTTTTACCGATTGATTGTGAAGGTACATACAATTTAACAAGTAAATGCGCTAGACTACCAACCTGTAAAGGTCCCGAAACATTGGTTTGTTTGAAAAAACAAATATACGCGATTTAAATCCGGAAAAATAGTTTCATTTCCTATGTGTAACAATCGCGAAAACCTAAGAACTCGATAAAAATAAATATATTTACGCAATTTAAATACCTTCATTTCCTATGTGTTTTTAACAATCGCAAAAACCTAAGAAGTCGAAGTATTATTGACGTTCTAATCATAAATAATTGCGTTAGTACCTTCTTTATTCTTGTTATGTATAACTTTTTCAAGTTTTGAATACAATCTCGACAAGATGACGGCCTTTAAAAGCACTGATGTAGTCGGTTCCTTAAGTTTTCGGCCATTTTTCGGTACATCTCAATATATAGCGTTCACATCCTCAGTAATTCACGCCTTGAGGTTATCTTCGCCGTGGGCGGTGTTTGAAAACTTTATTTTTCAAGCAATGCCACAAGTTTCCGCTATTCGTTACATTAATAAAATATAAAACATTTAAAACAACCAGATTTCAATAGACCGATTTGACGCGTGTGGGGGAGAGAGTTAAAATTAGTTTCAATAAGCTAAAGTGCTAGAAGATTTGATAAGTAAATAAATTAAAACATATTGTATCGTTCTGTCTCTAGACGCAGCCCAACGTCTTTTGCTTCAAATTTCGCAACAAGGTGACGATACAACTCTACATGCATAAGTATTTTCAGGCGAGTGCTTTGGCGTGCTGGGCGTGAACGGCGCGGGCAAGTCGAGCACGTTCCGCACAATCACCAGCGAGGATCACGCAACTCGGGGACAAGTATTCGCCAACAGACACTGCCTTACTTTGTGCCACAGACAACAAGTACCTAGTATTTCTTGAACACCCGTCTTCTTACTGTCTCGATGCTTTTTTTTATTTTAGGACTATTTAATAGTATGTTGCGACATTGAACCTTTAGATTGAACCTTTAGAGCCATTGAATAGTAAGTTAATAACAGAATTATTTCACAATAGCATATTTTTGATACTTGAAATTATCTTATCATCATCATCATATCAACCGGAAGACGTCCACTGCTAAACATAGGCCTCCCCTCAGATTTCCCGACTAGCCGATCGGACGGGACGTGCGTCTATCGATTACACGCCGCTCTTACCAGATCATCCATCCTTCTAGTAAGGGGCCGTCCTATTGAACGCCTTCCGGTTCGTGATCTCCTTTCGAGAACCTTTCTGCCCCAACGGCCGTCAGTTCTACGAGCTATGTGCCCTGCCCACTGTCACTTCAACATGCTAATCCTTCGAGCTATGTCGGTGACTTTCGTTCTTCTACGGATCATGCACTTCTCGAAGACTTTAGTCTTCAAGGACTGCGGTATTGCGGACGAGAAGAATTATATTGTAAATAAAATCTAATCTTTCAATTTAAAATTAATACGTAATTATAATTCCTAAAACAAAGTACCCATAGTACTTATGGTATTTCTTTTTACGGCACATCAATAGCAAGTACGAAGAATATTTTTTTTCAATAGCAATATTAGGCATTTTCCCATTTGTGATGAAATTCTAGTAACATATACAAATCTCCCTTGTTCCACAGTACTTGCTGTCTTTAGGGTACTGTCGGCAGTTCTTCGGACTGGACCTGTTCCTGTCTGGGTGGGACAATCTAGCACTGCTGCTCAAACTGCGCGGCTGGTCAGGAGACACTATTACCAAAGAGGTTGACATCTGGATAAAAGCTGTTGGTACGCTTTGAGGAATCAGAGGAAACGAGATATCGTTTGGTATAGATGAAAACGTCAGAGGCGGGAGGGAAATGTTTTTCACCAATCTTCCCGTAGGCACTGGGGCGCGGAATGTTCATGATTGGTCAAAGTACGCTTCCTCAAGATCGCGTTTGCAATATCGAAATTCGACAAAACTATTATTGTATATTTATAGTAGTAAAAAAATCACTTATTAAAGTTCAGACGAGAAGCCGAGAGATGGGCTTAAAGTGTCATAAGTGGCAACTAAAACCAGTGAAAAGGTTTGGGCAAATGACAAACCCCTCCATCTTCCCATGACCGGGAAGATGGAGGGGTTTGTCCCTTCTTACGGTTGTCTTAGTATACGATTTCAATCTTGGGAAATACCAACTGTAATTGCTCGGAGTTCTTTATAATAACTTCATTTTTGTTTAACTTTCGTCGTAGCCCAACGGTTACCGTGCTGGACTGCCACATAGAGGTTCCGGGTTCGATTCCTGGGCTGGAAGAAATGTTTGTACGACCTGCATTTATTTCTCTCGTGAGTTGGATGTAATTTGTGGTTGTCTATGTGTGCGTTCACGACACCCGTAATACAGGGTTTCCCTAGCGGAGCCATGAGTGTGTGCGGCATTATTTTTAAGTCTTCTTGCTCCTGTGGCCCCCTTAAGGCGGAATTATATTTGTCTAACGTGTCGTGTCGTAATGCGCTCTGACGTGATGGTTTAGCGTTCACATCTATATATCGTGTTCTGACTATATTTTGGAGCAATACCGTCTTGGGTCACTTAGAGTTCATACGTGCCCAATATCTGACGCGTCACAACACAGCACGGCGCGTGCACACTTGTCTCACCTCACCCGTCCTGACGCAGATCGGGATCGCTTCTGATGTCACACAACACAAGCAATCACCACACATTGCGACACACTAATATAAACTTCACCATATTAAATGTATGAAACCGATACCATTCTGCCGCGTCGCGACACGACACGTCTGACAAATATAAATCCGCCATTATTTGCGACGGTACGTCTTCAGTGTTGCTATCTGTGACACTTATCTCAAGAAACCTTACAAAGTTGGCGTGCTGGATGTCTCTGTTTTTTCCTAACCGGAGAAGGTTTAACGACAGGTCTGGAGCGATACGCCAAAGAGCGCGTATGCTTCTACAACCGCGACTGCAAGCGGCGTTTGGCTGCAGCGGCGGCGCTGGCGCAGGGCGCGCCCGTCACACTGCTGGACGAGCCCACTGCCGGCGTCGACGCTACCACCAGGAGATACGTCTGGAGAGCGCTCAGGCGAGGGCAGGCCCTGGGTCGTACCATTATCATGACTTCTCATTGGTAAGCTGTATGATCACCACTATTACCAATGACCTGATATAAGTTGAAGACCTTAGTTGCGAAACAGTTTGCACTGCGAACGCCGGACGAAGAGGTCCTGGGTTCGGTTTTCGGTTGGACCAATTTGGGATTTGACTTAATGGCGATACAACCTAACCTATATGCAATGGCTTGGATTGATTCCGCATCAGTGAAATTGTTGAATCAATCAGATTAAAAAATATATAGTAAAATTGAGGATATGCACTGATTACTATAAATATGGTGTAAAAACACGATTTCTAAAAATTTTCACAAAAAAAACCTCGAAACTTTTTTTACAAACGGATCAGAATTTATTTTTTAACCGATTTCAAAAAAGGAGGAGGTTTTCAATTCGACTGTATGTTCTTTTTTTTTCTTTTTTTTTTTGTATGTATGTTACGCGATAACTCCGGTATTTGTGAACCGATTTTCATTATTCTTTTTTTGTTGGAAAGGGGGTACTGCCATAGTGGTCCCATTTTATTTTGAAGGAAATCATCCACCTCTAAGGGTGGCTGTTCACGCATGAAGATTCATTTTTATAAATAGCGCCTAACTTTAATTTAGGAGCAATTACTTTTAGCAATTATTTAGTTGACTTTGCTATTTATCCAACTCAAGGCGTTTTTCCCTCGATATACTTTAAGTAGTGTCGTAGTGATACCTATTTTTATTATCTCCAGTATCAAGTCCTGTATAGTGCCGACCTAGGGGATATTTCAACGAAACTTAGCAAATAGACGTAATTCCACGTACTTTTGAGGTCGGTTTTTTTAGTACTCTGTACTGAGATTATTTATTTATTTAGTTCATTTAATAAAAAAATCATTGTTATATGTGAAGTGCCTATTGAATACAGCGATTTTCTTGTAAAATTTCGAGGCAAGTTTGTGTTTTTTTTTCTATCGAGAAAATTTTTACGAATCGTGTTTTCACATCGATTAACGATCAGTATATAGCCTCAATTTTACTTTATACTTTTTTCCAAAATGATTGATTCAATACTTTCACTGTTATGCGAAATCAACCAAAGCCATTTGAGGTTTTATAGACTCTCAATTATGATGTAATGAGAGATATTTTTGAAATAGCCTGACAAAGTGTTTTTATAACTAGGATTAATGCGTAAATTGTAAATTGTTTACACGTTACTATATGTACAATTAACTCAAAGTAACTCAAAGACCTATGGAACGAGCAAAGCTCGGTATTTCTCTACGTGATCGAAACAGAAATGAGGAGATCCGTAGAAGAACAAATGTTACCGACATGGCCCAAAGGATTTAGTAAGTTGAAATGGCAGTGAGTAGGGCACATGTCTCGTAGAACTGACAGCCGTTGAGACAGAAAGATTCTCGAATAGAGACTACGAACCGGAAGGCGTTCAGTGGGACGGCCCCTACTAGATGGACGGCTGACTTGGTAAGGGCGGCGGGCGTCGAGTATATAACCAGAAATAGAGACGAAATCAAATCAAATCAAATCAAATCATTTTATTCGTCATCATGGGTATAACAGTACAGATGTTAACGTTTAAAATATTGATCTCCATGACGTACCATCAAGGCATACGAAATGTAGAGTCTCAAAGAAACATTATTAACAAAAATCACATTACATTGACCAACTAATTATACATTATTAAATTAAA